TGTGAGCTGCAGGTCTGGTGGACAATGGCTGGCTGCTGACCGTCTCCTCTGAGGAGAAGGCTATCATGGGTTCAATCCTGCTGATAGTGATAACTATAAATAAAATGCCCCTGTAATAAAGAATAGGAGGCTGAACTAGTACATAGGTGTGTTTATGACAAATGCAGAGGTGTGTGTGTGTGTGTGTGTGTGTGTGTGTACAAAAGAATGTCATCAGCAAGGATCTAATGTGTCCTTATTTGATCTGAGGAAGGATTATTTACTGTGGCCTTTCCAAAACTCCCTCACACAACTGGCTTCAGTCTCAATCATTGATTCAGTGGTGTTTGAAGACAAATTAATTCAGCAATGAAATTGTACGCCAATAAAAGCGTAATTCCTGAATCATGTGTGAGAAAGCATCTATCCAATTTCCGACTGACCTGTAAGGACGCCAGAGAGATTGCGCCTAAAAAGTTTTAAAACAATAACTCATTAACATCTATTCTTACCATTGTTCCAATACACCTGCTGGTTCCTATAAGATTTGGAACAGCTGAATTTACTCTCAGAAGGTCTCATGAGTATGTCAAAAGAAGCACATGTCCAGTTTAACCATTATTTACAGTCAAGCTTTTGGAGAAACATGTCACCACACTTAAAAAGCAAATATTGACTAAGTTTAACAGCAACAATCAGTTGACCAAAACTAGGTCCAGACAATGCTTAAAAGACAGCAGGACAGTCATGAGTTCCTATGACACTCCAGCATGTTCCTGTCAATCCTAAACTTACAATGATACTTCTTATTCTTCCTATGCAGCAGATTGAGTTTCTCAGCTGCAAGTACCAATCCAGAACTTGGGTTGCAGCCAGTACAGTCATGGGTACCTCCAGCAGCTGCAGTAATTCATCCTGTGACAATTTTGATCATGTCGATGTTTCCTATATTGCTTAGATGGAGATGTTACTGTAACAAAAAGAACAAATTCAAGACCATCCCCATGTGGGCTGCTCCCACAAACATGAAGGATGTGATCTTATGCACCTCACTCAGAACCTACATGGGCTATTATTAGTATGGTGACCAGTTCAGTGGATGGCCATTCTCTATTTTTTGGTTGAGAGAATAAACTCAACAGCATGCCAAAAAGTTTGTGGCATTTTGACATTCTCTAGAACAGCGTTTTTCGAACATTTTTTTTTTTTTTTACTGCAACCCCACAGCAAGAACCACATTTTGCATTGAGAACCATTATACCTATGTGTAATAAATCAAAGACAAACTCTTTTCACTAAATTCATTTATTTAGTAGCAACAATTTCTATTTATATTTTTCATGATCTGCGCATATTGGAATTTCATGTATCTATTTGCATGAATTATTACTTTTAGAAAAACAAATTTAAAGGAAATTCCGATACGAAGATAAAATAAATAATCTGCAACAAGTTTGACAAACAAGCTACATAAACACAATGAGAACAAACTATATATATAATTATATTTTTTAAAAATAAAATATAAGCCTACCTCGGTGAAAAACTAGCAACAACTTATGAGCGCTGTGCAACATTTAGAGTTACTTATATTCTGCATTTTGCACTCACTTGTGTATTTTTTTTTCTTTCTTTCTTTCTTTTTTGTCTCGACCCACTGAAGTGTCGGGAACCACAGTTTGAAAAACCCTGCTCTAGAGGACCAGATCCACTAACAAAGATATCCTTAGATTGTGACAACTATTTAAAGGTTTCTTTAAATCTGAGATTGCCTTGATACAGAAAATATAGAACATTATGTCAATACTGTTGGCTATATGCCCATCTCTATTATAGCAAAGATAGGCATGCTTGATTTTCTTTGGTATTTCATTATCAAAGGTCTCAAACATCTACTCATCTTGTGCTAGAGTGGAGATTGCAAGAAATATTGACATCTCAAGGCAGGATGAGGATATTTTTGTACAGAACTGACATGTTTCGAACAGTGTCTCAGTTTGAGAGCATCTACTCAAGGAACTATAATGGGTTCTCTGTCAGGCCCAAATCTTATAGAAAACTGAAGGGGATCATCTATTTAGCTAAAGTCATCCTGACAAGACATTCATCAGAGAATGCTGGCACAAAAGACAGGTCTTTTAATCAATCATATAAAACAGGTAATTCAGAATGTCATGCCAGTCTTGAACAATTAAAGACTGGTCACATTATTCAGGCTCTTCAGCTAGTTGATCAACTCTGCAAACTCTAGAAGGATTTGTCAAATCAGCTTAAATTTTGAAACAACTATATTCTCCAGCTGAAAGCCACAGCACAGTTAAGCCCAATAAGAAAAAAAAAAAAAACCACACTAGAATTGGTGCATCTCTAAATTGAGAACAGAGAAAATGACTGAGATTGTCAGTCCACAATCTGTCCTAGTCGATAACTTGTCAAGACAGATTAAGGACCTTTAATCAACACATGGAATGAGAGTTCAGTGATGAAAGTTGATTAAGCATTTCAACTTGAAGAGGAGATTGAGATAGATCCAAACATGTTTAATGAGCCACCGTGATCAAAGCAGACAGCAATGAAAATGTAAATGAGGATCTCTCACCATGCAAAGAAGCTCTGGGAGAGATCAGGGGTGAGGGCAGCATGGGAGAAGCACACTATATGGCCAGTAACAATAAAGGCTATGTCAGTTGTTGCTGGGAGACAAAACCTAACTGATAGATTACCACTTTCATTATGGCTAAGGTCAGTGATATCCGGGTACCTAGCGACAGGAGCTGTTGTTTGTCATCTGGGTTAATGAAATGCTTTGAAAACTATAAAAGCAAACCATTTCTGGTGGTTGGTTTATTTTTGCACTACTCTTCTTGAGCCAAGTGGTACAGGAGAAAAGTTCAGAGGTCATGTCAGTGTTAAGGATGTTTTAGTGAGTGGTGTTCTTAAGCATTTTTTTTTTTTTTTAATTAGATGAAGCATTTTTCTTCAAGATCAGTTGACACCTTACAATGACACCTGTCTTGCCTCAAGACACAGACAAAACTAATTAGTGGCAAACCAGAAGAGTCAACCACACTAATGACAGATTCTAAGATTCTAGGAATTCCGACTTTGCTTAAATACCAAGTTAGAAAGATTTTTTTTTTGAAGAAGGGAGAGAGAGAGAGAGAGAGAGAGAGAGATATGAAATCAAGAGTTAAGGGAAAGACAAAGTGAAATGAGTACTTCATTGTGTGTGTAGTTCTTAACAATTTCTCATTTTCAACATGAACACAAATATGGATGTGGTTCCAGTTAGGAACTACCATATTTTCTGGCTTACAAGATGCTGCATCTTGGAAGATGCACCCTAATATTGGAAAGAAATTTCTAAGAAAAAAAAAAAAAAAAAAAGTCATTCTCATACAACAACACATTCACCATGCGTCCCTCAAATACTGGCGCCACGTATTGTTCACATTAATCACTCGTCTGATTTTGTTTGTATGGCAATTACATGCTAGTCAAGAGCAGAAAGACTCCCACCACTGCTCGTAAACAGAGCATGTTTAAGCTTGTGGCTCAGCTCCAGGAAGGTTTATAGTCTTGGAAATACTTGTAACAGCTAAGTACTAAGGTTACATGATATAAAAGGCTGAACTAGATAGATAGCTAACATTATAGTGTAATGACTCAACATACAAATCTACGTCCCTAGTAGTCAAGCCAATTAGAGTTCAAGTTTACTTGAGTCTGGACGTTGCCTTACATTTGTCTTGGAAGACACACATGTATTTTTCAGGGTATTTTTAGGAAAAAAGTGCGTCTTGTTAGCCGGAAAATACGATATTTACATTAGTGACATGTGAATTATTGTCCTCGTCTTTGTTGACATTATCATAACGTTTCGGCCATTGCACCCTCTGGACTTCATCATTTGAATATGGATGTGATTCCAGTTAGGAAATATTTCCCCTTGATAATCAGAGATTACCACTGAAATTATGACTCATAAAGCAAAGTGAAACGGTAGAAAGAAATCATCTGGATGTTAAGTCTGCATTTCAAAGAAAAAAAAAAAAAAAAGAAAAAAAAAGACTATTCAGGTTAATCCTCCTACAATTACTTTCTTGACTAACATTTCTGAGTGTACTGTTTAGTAATGATGTTGATGCCCTATCCTCGGTCAAATGGGAAATAAATATGAATGATATGTTTTCTACAGTATAAAGGTCTCAAATATATTCTATACAATTCAGTCCAAATCGCTGTATTATAGAATAAAGAATATAACAATACACAGCCATTTTTTACCTTATAAAAAAGAAATGGCTAAACCCAGTTTTCCTGACAACCGATTGGCTGATCACAAAAGACTTTTTTTTTCCTTCGATACATTTTTTTTCTTATTTTCAGCAAAGGAGTCTACTCCAGATCCGACAAGGCAGGAGAGATGACTAGAACCCAGCAGTTCCATGCCCTGGGTAAATATACAGCCAGACAAATATTCTACACAGCGTTTCAGGTATTATAGCCAAACTAAAAATTTCTATGTAGCATTTTTGGACAATATGGCCAAACTAAGATTGTGGATAGTGCCAATTTAAAGTAACGGTGGCTATAAAAGAGAATCTTATGAATACTGTTTTATGAAGAGTTAAGTTAGAATAAGCTAACAAGAAACATGAAAGAGGTAACCACAATATGTGACAGTTTATTCTCTCTTGTTAGTGGCTGAGTTCCTTCTGTATTCTATTTACTATGGCATTTTGAATTTTCTAGTAGGAAGAACAACTATCAGCCACGATAGCCCTTCAAGAGGGAGTGCGGATAAAATCAGAAACAACATTTCAGGAAAGACTTCCTACTGTATCTTTTTCATTTTGAATCCCACTAAAATAGGGAGGTTTTTAAAACCGACTTAAAAAAAAAAAAAATTGATTATATCCTGCAGGATTAAAAAAAAATCCTCTACCTAATTTTGAAAAGTGGGATTTCTTAAAATTGGCTTCTAATGTGGATACACAATTTATTAGTTAGACTGCTGACTAAACATTGGACTCGCATTGTACATTGTGTCGATATCCATCCCATAAGACGGAACTTGCCATTTCAAGATCCCAATGTAAAGTTCTCAGTAAACTCTCACACTGATCACGTGTGGTCAAGCCAAGCCGGAAGAGCTGCTCAATTTTTAGATATCGGATGGCAGTGTCCACATCCCACTGACTCTTGCACAAAGCTGCATGGCACTCTTCATCTGTAACCCCTAAAACTTTGTTTTGTACTTGGTAGACTTTTTCTTGAGGAGATGACGACCCAAATGTCTGTTCCTGCATTGAGACTGACCGATGGTACACATTTGGGGAATGTTTCTGAGATGAAGGGATGTGCTGTGACAAGGGCCGACCAGAATGTTTTAATTTGGGTCCCTGCCCCGGGACGGTCAGAGTCTTTTGTTCAAGGGTAATGTAGGAGAGGTGGCCAGCGGACGATGTTGAATGGGCATTGTGTGTTGAGACTGTAGCAGTTGTCATGGTGACCGTGGAGCTGGAGGATGTGCTAGTGGAGGTGATGTTTTGATATTGTAAATCTCGTACTTTCGTGCCGCTAGCAGACAAAGAGTCCACCTGCAATCCTCCAACAGCAAACGGTTTCACTTCAGCAGTGTTGCTCTGAGCAGGTTTCTTTTCACAACGAGGGGGTATCAGGAAGTAATGGGTGTGGCTCAACTGCTTGCCATCCTGCTTCACAGGGTAAATGCAAGGCTTTTTAGGCAAACTGGCACTATGACGCCGCCCCTTGCCGTCAACATCATCATAGTCCCTTGGAGGAAGCGGTGGCGGGTGTTCCATTTCCAATGGCTCGTCTTCAGATTCTTCTTCCGAATCAAAGGAATCAAAGGAATCGGACCAACAAGAATTGTCATCAAATGTCTGTTGTGTCTCTGATTTTTGGATTGTGGAAATAAGTGGCATCTGGTTTCCTAAATGCTGCTTTGGGGCCTTGTCCCGAACAACTTCTTCTTTAGGGACTTCATCGTATAAAGGAAAGGGGTTACGCATGGAGCAAACATTTGATTGGTTGATCACAGGTGGTGGTGGGGGGAGTTCTTGAGGGACTTCATCATAGAGAGGTTGGTGTGGAGAAGGGACATAAGGAGTTTTATAAGCCTTATTTGACTGACTGATAGCTAGATCACTAAGGGCATCATTCAACCAATCAAATGCTTTGTTGGCTTTTCTGGCTTGTTGAGCATGTTTTGGAGAGGTTGACTGGGATGTGGAGGGAGGGTCAACATTTCCGTACAAAGCGTATGAGCTGGATTCTGAAGCAGTACCAGCATTGTTGCTGTAAATGTGGTGTGGACTACCCCAAACACTACTGTCCTGAAAGTGGGAGGGTGATTTTTTTGGTGAGACATGGTTGCTTTGCTCGTCGCAGGGCGGTAAGGAGTAATATAACAAGGGTGTCCGATTTAAGTCCTGAGACTGACCGCTTGTTGAGTAAGCGTCCTGCAGGGGGACCTTGGGCATAGAGGTAGGGGAAGATGTGGGAATATAAGAGGATGAAGAAGATGGACTTTGATGAGGGCTGAAGCCCAAGTTTGTAAATGGTTGAGATGTTAGTGAACTGTTCTTGACAAACTTTTTCAGGTCGGAATCTAATTCAAATGGATCTGGTGAAGTGCAGACATCAAGTAGGGGCTTGGGTAGCTGAGAGTCTGCACTGCTGCGGGACGTATCGTGAGTCAACAGAGAATCAAAGAGAGACAAGGAGTTCTGAGATGATTGGCTGGGAAGAGGAGTTTTTAGGGTTTCACCCTCATTTTCTAAGTCTATCAATGGCTTCTCCTCAACTTTGGGTGCCTGCTTTGGAGGCGGCAGAAATTTCTTTTCTGGTTGATCAGATGAAGATAATGATGATGGCTTCACCAACGGATGGGGAACTGCCTTCACAGGGGATGTCACCTTGATGGAATCATCTTTCAACTTGGAGTAGTTGAAGTGACGACCGATGCCAAGGCTCTGGTAGGCAAATGGACCTATATATATATAAAAAAATTTTTTTTTTTTAAATGTAAAAAAAAAAAAAAAAAAAAAACAATATTGAAGACTGATACATGGTCCAGAAAATATTATGTAAGGACAGGTTTCCTCATTCACAAACATGTCTGTTTTTACCTAAGATCAAGAAACAGTGAGAGGAGAGAAAGAAAATAAAAAAAGTAAAAGTAAAACTACATTTGTTGAAAGCACACTGAGGTATAAAAACAGATTACAGAAGTGAATTATAAAATAGACAGGTTAATTAAAAATATAATATGTTTCTAGAATTATAGAACTGGATTTATTTTTGTGAAGGTCCAACTAATTTTTATAATTTATTTTATTAAGTATAAAAGAAAAAAAAAAGAAATCATAATTCCATACGTTTACTTCTATCAGGAAGTTGAGTGGGATCAGGAGTTTCTGGTTCCCCATGGATGTCTTCTGGTTCCATAGGATTACGAAGATATACTCTATAAAGAAGAAGAAAAAGGTAAAAATTGAGGAAAAAAAAAAAAGATATTAAAAATCAAGTAGAAAAAAAACTTTAAAATAATCAATCATAGAAAATAATTCCAAGGTAAGAGAAAAAAACAAAAAGTACTCTCTTTGGGATGCAAGCCAGCTAATCAACAAGGAACTCTGCAGTAAATTCAAAGCACTTCATTACATAAGAAATTTTTTTCACTGTGTCATGTGAGACAGTTTTTCTCTCCAGAATCTATCTTACATATCGATAAGTTTACCATTCGTCCATGCTTAGAATTTTGCTACAACATATTGTCCAGTGCCCCTGCTGTTTACCTTGAGCACCTTGATAAAATCCAAAGAAGAATCAGCAATATTATTGGTCTTGATCTGGCAGCTCAGCATCCGTCACTTTCCCACTGCTGTAAGGTTGCTTCTATGTCTTTTCTATAAATAATTTCATGATAATTGTTCAGATGAGCTCTTTGCTATGTTACCTAGATTTTTGAATTTAAGTACAGTACTAGACTGGTATCAAGATCTCATCACTTTACAGTTGAGCTGGTTAGATGTAGCCGTAAGTTCTATACTAACAGTTTCTTTTCACACACTTCTCGCTTATGAAACTCCCTCCCAGCTCCATGCTTTCCAGCCAATTTTAATCTGCAAAAATTTAAATGCAATGTCAATCACTATCAACCGTCCTTCTGATTACTCTTTCCACTCATTATTAAGGTTTCTGTTCCTAATTCTTCCACACTCTGTAAACCCTTCTGTCTTAGTGACTTTACTGCTTTGTATGGGGTGATACCAATCAAAAAAAGGCATAAATAAATTTCTTTGCTCAACAGGGAATGAGCTGGAGATTACCCCTCATCCCATGTATAAAAATCATTTGAGTTATGTAGAAAGATGTAAACCTTATCAGGCAGCATTTAAACTAGCCCCTGCAGAGGGGTCTTAATTGGGCCTTCATCACGATAGATATGTGCGATAGACAACTATAAACTACATAAGAACTCAAAATTGATTGCTACATTTAAGTATTCCATTAATATTTAAGCTTACCTTTTAAAAGTTCAAGGAAGAAAGAGATGAGCTATTGAGAGTTGTGTCCCTTTAATTGAAAAAGTGTGACACACTGACATTGGCATTTATTATAGAGATGTATGAAAAGTCAGTTGGAACAGGAAAAATTTTACATGTCTAGTATAAGGATCAAATTTACTGTCAATGATTTGCAACCTGAGAATGCTTTTTACTGTAAATCAAATTAAATTTGAGATAAGAAATGGATTAAAAATTAGAAAAACATTTTTTATTGTTGAGGAATTGGAGGATTTTTTTTTAACTTAACATTATGATATAAAAACAAAGATATGGAAAACTAGTAAAAAAAAAAAAAAAAAAAAAAAAACAAAAAAAAAAATAATGACAATAATTCAAGTCAAAATTCAAATAATTTATGAATCCAGAATAAATTAATCTTAATTCCATCATTCTGGTTACTTGTAAACAGATTATTTCACTTAATCTGTGTATCAATTATAAAGAATAGATTGACTTATTTAAATACACATTTTAACTGCTTCCCTCTACCTGCATAGAGGCAAGCATAAGAGAAGGTACTTACTCATCAATAAAACCTGGATCCCCCCAAGTGCTGCCACCAATGTCCCCATGTCCTGTGTGAATAAAACTGTTTTTCAATGGTTTGCTAATATCTTCACCTGGGTGGAGAAAGAAAGAAAGAAGAAAAAAAAAACTCATTAAATTAAAAAGAAAAAAAAAATGAATATTGTTTTGGTTAATAAAATTGGACATTTTTTTTTATTTTTATAATTAATGAAAGACAGGTTTTCATCAATAGAGAATTAGAAATTAGATTCTATTTAAGTTTCAAATTGAAAAAAATTGAATTTCTTGCGAGTTCTACTGCTGAAGCTGGAGACACGTTGGCAGAAGGTGCTGGATGCTGATGGTGATTACTTCAAAGACTAAATATAAGTTACACATACTGTGAAGCGTTTTCTTTCTTTTCTTCCTTTAAAAACGGACAGAACTTTTTTGGTTACCTTGTGTGTGTGTATATATATATATATATATATATATAAAATTAATGTGTATTTCAGTTAGTTTTATAGCCATTATCAAGGATGTTGTTTTGGGTGGTGCATTTCTGTGTGTGGCTTTTACATAGTAGATTTTTTCTGTGAGGAATACAGTGCAGCAGGTGTTGTATGCTTTTTGGTGGATACATGCTATGTGTGGCCAGTTGACCTGGGCATCACTTCTATTTTTTGAAAACTTTTAATACACTATCTCCACTGCTAAATGGCCTAAGATTGACAGAGGGAGAATGGTATTTAAAAAGCAATGTCTAACTAATGATGAGTTGTGTACGACTATGTGACTTGAAATGAATCTGTGTTATAAACTAGAATTTTCCTTAAAGGTTCTTGTAAATTATGAGTTAATAAATATTTATTAATCTCACTCTGATTCAAACTGTAAGATGTTTACTTAAGGAGGTATTGGTGTGCCCCATATAGGTCATTGATTTTTGACAAGTAACACAGTGTTGTACTGAGCATTGGAATTGGTACACTATATTGGTCACCACTAGTTTAGATTTGCTGGGGTTATTTCTGATGATGATGATAAGGTTTGTGGTCTTTCATTTTCTATAATATATGATGAACATTATGTTTTTGGCAATTTCAGCAGAAATATGGTGTTTAATAATTTTCCTTATAGCAAATTCATCCTGCTTATAAATATAGTGTGTGTATATATATATATATATATATATATATATATATATATATATATACATACATAAGTTTTATTAGAAATGACTGCGGTTAAATTTTATTTAGTTTTTCTTGTCTTACAATTTTTTTTTCTTTTCTAGACATAAATTATATAGAAATTGTCTAAATGTTCTGTATGTGTAAACACTTTTGGACAATTTCTGCATCATTTATATCCAGAAAAGAAGAAAATTATAAGAACACAAGAAAAATTAAATAAAAAAAAATTAACTGCAATACCTTGTCAGTCATTTTTAATGAAACTTGTATAAAAGAGGGATTGCTATTCAAATACACACACATTATTTTATATATGCACATACACACAAATATTTTTAATAAATTGCAAATTAGATTTAATAAAGACTAAAGAAAAAGAGAAAAAAAAGACAAAAAGTAAACTGAAATTTGTGACATTTTGTATTTGGGACAGAGACATAGCCAGGCCCAGAGATGGAAACATAGCCAGTCTTGTGTAATGTATCAAGATGTGTTTTTTCCCCCCTGCAAAAAGAATTATTTTCGAATAAAATATTTCAAAAGTAAAGAGAATTATGGAAAAGATTACTTTTCTAAGAATATAAAAAAAAATTTAGCCAAAGTTCTTTGCATGTGTGAGACCAAATATAAAAACTTAAAAAGTACCTGAAGTGATAAAGGGAGAAAAAAATTTATCTTTTTTGAAAGATTTTGTTCAAGGCCTATTATATCCAAAAAGTCTAATCATTCATGAGGATTTATTTTATTTTTTTCATCCTATAGACAATGATGAATTTTTCCCAATGTCCTGGAAGGAAAAAATTCAGCATGTACACAAGTGTGTGGATGGACAGAAAACTGCTTTTTTTTTTTTTATTATTATTTGTGTCATTGAAAGAAAATCAAAAACAGAACTTATTTCTATTTTTATTTCTATTATTTCTATTTTTCAACTCAGCATAAACATCTTTAACTAGAAAAGATAAATATTTAAATTTGATACAGTGGGTTATTTAAAAAGGATTTCATACCTTGAAAAGACACTAGGTTGCATTTATCATCAAAATACTATAAATAAATAAATAAAGAATGATGACAAATGCATTAAACATTTTCAAACAAAGATTTTTGGGAAATCTATGACAAAGTGGAAAAGTTTTCGTGTGTCACATTTTATAATTACTAAATTGCATTTATCTTTAAAATACTATAAATAATTTTGTGCGTGTTTAATACAAGGAAAATTTCTTTTTCTCCTCCTTCAGAAAAATTGTTAGTAAAACTTGAAATGCAACTTTTGAGATCAGAACATCATAGATGCTGGGAAATATGACAAAAACTTTATACGTGTAAATTTTTTTTTGTTTGAACAAACAAACAAACAAACAAAAAAAAAAAAAAAACAATTTCTGTAATTTTAGAAAAATGAAAGACAACAAATTTTTTATAAGCTCATGCTTTGAGCTTCTTCAAAACATATCGCTGGCTTATATAACAGTCATTCTTTACAAAAGGCTAAGTGTTATAAATTCACTTTACCAGCCAGTTTCCTTTGCGGGTCAACCAAATGCCGAGGGAAGAGTCCCATCTGTCCTGTCCTCTTATTCTGACCTTTCCACCAAAAATTTTCTGACCTATTAAAAAATTTTAAAAAAAAAAAAAAAAAAAAAAAAAAAGATTACACAAAATGGTAGGGTTTTTCAAGCATGATGACAAATGCATTAAAACAAATTTTCAAACAAAGATTTTTGTGAAATTTATGATAAAGTGGAAAAGTTGTATGATGTGTTTCATCGTTCTTTAGGACTTAAGACTAAAGCAATCAATGTTTACATTGATTCAACTGCACATGTACACAAAAGAGAAATTAAATTGTTTAGACTATATACCCAAAACATACATTAAAAAAAACAAAAAAAAAAAACAACTTTTTCAGTATTCCCTCTCCTTCATGCGCATATGTAGTCTCATTGACGTAAACATCACTTTAGTCTGATGAAGACCTGAAGAACAAAACATGTCACACAAAAACTTATGTAGATTTCCTTAAAATTGTTCTCAATATATAAAAATTTATATATCGTTTTCTCAAAGATTTACCAGATCATCACCAGATTTTTTTTCTGTAGAGAGAGAGAGAGCTTTTTTGTCTGTAACCTTCTGCCTATTAGAGTTTTCTCTCTTGAACTAATGATACCAAATTTCTTCATTTTGACAATAGCAGGCGGTTTCAAAATGGAAATGAAAAAGTAGATGACTATAACCATGGTAATAATTGGAAAGAAATATATTTAAAAATTTACATGTGAAAACCTAATAATATTAATAACTTAACAAAATATCCCATCATTTTTTATGACATGGGTAAATTTATATTAATGTAAAATTCAGCAAGACAAAGTGAAGGATCGGTTTTCCATTATTATCAAGTAATAAACTGATTTCCACTCAGAATTATTATATATTAATGTAATAATATATATATATATATATATATATATATATATATAAAATAGATTTGAAGACATACATGTGAAACCTTATTAAGGACTTAAAATATGTAGTCAGTTGTCAGTTTCAGCAGCATAAATAATCTTTTTTAATTTAAAGTCAAGTCCCTTCAGGATGGAAATAATCATGACTCTCCACATATTCTTATTATTACTTATTAAGTGTGAATTTCCCGATTTCTGGACTGGTTTCCTGTTGTCTTCATGGTTTTGAATTCAGAGATTTACTTTTTTCTTTTACCAATCCAGACTAGAAAGCTCAGTCTACCCTGCTATTTAACCTATAGTTGCTGTCTCAACAACTTTAAATTTGGAGTTATCTTTCTTGTAGACTTGTTGGCAATAGAGGCTAGAAAGCCCAGTCTACCTGGCTATTTAACCCATAGTTGCTATCTCCATGGTTTTGAATTCAAAGTTTTCCTTCTCTTGTACTGGTTGCCACCCAAGTTGAGAAAGACCAGCCTACTGTGCTATTTAACCCATAGCTGATGGGAGAAGAGACAGATTCATGCCTTTCCCAAAGGTATTAGTGCAAATTTAAATACAACAATTTGAACTTAGTACACTGATCCCATTTTGTGCTGATATCTATTAAACTACTTGCACAGACCAGCATAGATAAATTAATTATATAAGATTCTAAGAACTGATCATTTAAAGAAAAATTTCCGTCCACCTACGTTTGTTTTTTTTCTTTAACATAAGTGTTTAATAGTTTTAAAACATTAAAATTGAGTTGAAACAATTTTTTTAAAGTATTACTCTTAGTTTGCCTGGGGCAATCAATGTAACAGTCAGCACTTGGGTACACATTGGAATGCAAAATTGCATTTCTAAATAGTTCTGGTAGATATTCTATCAGGTTTTTAATGTCTTCTGTATGATCTTCCAAAGTTTGCAAGCATTCGACATGTTCTTCAAATAATGTGGTTCTTATTACTTGACCATCTGTTGTACATCTTTTCTTTTTATGTGCCATATCCTTTCAGGATGTAGGCAATCATGGCTCTCCACCCCCATCTATCCCTTGCAGCTCTTAACAAGTTCCTTCCCTTTGCTTCCTCCCACAGACCACGTTCTGTCATCCACTTGCTTAATCCCACCAGGTATGTCATACGTTGTTTTCCCTCGTCTCTCTTTCCCTCTATTTGACCTGTGAGTATCAGATTCTTCAGGCCCTCCTTCCTCATTATGTGTCCCAGAAACTTCAGTTGCCTCTTTCTGATGTTGAGTATAAGCCTCCTCCTTGTTTGAATCCTCTCTAAGACCTTCTCGTTGCTCACATGCTCAGTCCATGATATCCTTAGGAACCTTCTGTCGAACCACATCTGTCGCCTCGAGTCTCTTCTTCATCTTTGAGGAAATCGCCCAACATTCGCTGCCGTAAAGAAGGACAGATGTCACATATTGGTCATGTGATCCATATCCATACCTACCAACCATTTCACTATCTTGATCCTACTTTTAAATTTAAATCCACAGTTGGCTCCAATACAAAGAACAACAATTGGACTGATTTAATAACGGGGATTTTAGCTATCATCTTCCATCTTTGAAGTTTAGATACATCGCAGGGAGAATACAGTTTTATAAAACTCTAAATTGACAGACATCTAAAGTTTCAATATAAACAAAATACTTCTATGTGCCATGTCCCTCCAGAGTTCTCCACAATTTCTTGTCCTTTGTAACACTTAATAAATTTTGTCTTTTTGGTATCTTTCCTAAACCTTGTTCTACAATCCATTTACTCAAGCTCACTAAGTAGGTTATATTTTTATTTTTCTCTTGCCTTCAAATGTCCTGTCAGTATCAAATTTTCCAAACCCTCTTTCCTCATTACGTGACTAGAAATTTCAACTGTCTGTTCCTAATGTTAAGTATAAGTTTCCTTTTTGTTTCCAATTTCTCTAAAAACTTCATTGTTGCTCACATGTTCAGTCCATTGTATCCTCAGTATCCTTCTGTAGAACAACATTTCTATTGTCCAACATTCACGGCTATATAGGAGGACTGATATTACCTAACAGTTCAGCACTCTTTTCTCACTAACAAAATTTTTCTGTTTCTTAATACTGTATTTAGTTTTTGGAAGGCATATTTTGCTGTTCCAATGTGCCTTCAGATTTCATTGTTACACATTCCATCCTTTGTTAAAACATTTCCCAGATATTTAAATTGTTGTAGTTGTTTGATTTTGGTATCTCCAATTTGTAATTTGCATGTTGGGCTGTCCCTTTTGTTAACAACTATACTGTTTAAATTTGAATTGTTTTTTTTTTTCCAGGAAATGTTGGAAAAGAAAGGGAGAGAAAAAAAATAGCCAAATATTGTCTAAAGTAACATTGTGCTTTTTTTCTTTTTTTAAGTTAACTGACACCTCACATTTCTATCCACTATTTATCTTAGAACTACTAGATGCTCTTTACATTTTTTTTTCCTTGTTTGGTGGTCTCCCCCCAACCTCCCCGCTATACTATTAAGATTTAGTACCCTATCCAGGTTTTGACAATCTCCTCCGCTTGTGTCTACCAAACTAATATAATAATCAGTTATAAGAGTAACTGAAAGCAAACAAAAGAATTTTATGCTATTATACTCAGAGATTTAAATGAAAACAAAAAGAAAAAAATTTTCAGGATTGGATTTGTCCATTCTATGATTATCAGGAATTATAAAATTGCTTTAGTCAGTTAAGTGCCATACATAATACACTCATGTTTCTTTCAATTCATAACTGACTAGGCAGAAGATTTTCCCACAGAAGGTTGCCGTTTCTTTGTGCACTCTACTGGTTGCCAGTCAAGGCTATAGGAACCAGTCTATCCTATTAACCCATAGTTTCGGAGAGGGAGGGGGATGGATTCATACCTTTTTCAAGGGTATTTACATTCAAGTGAATGTAATGAACCCAACTGGAATTCAAACTCTGGCTCCGATTTCTCATTCCAAGCCCATATTCATTACACCACAACACACAATTAGAAATTGCTAAGTTAAAATGATATATTAAAACACAAACAACCAAGGTTAGAAAAGAAAATATTTTGTAGTAATCATTTTGTATATACAAAAAAGTCTACCCCAGTCTCCATAATCATAATGAAACAGTTAGCTTTTGATACACTAATTTGGAATAAGAATGCAACTTTCAAATCTTAAACTGTCAAGAGACCCATCCTCTCTTATCTAATAGGATTGTTCCATATTGTTTTACAGGAAGTATTATGTTCTTTCCTTTTGTTGTTTTTTGTTTTTTTTTAATAGAAACAGGATTTTGAGTACAAGGCGGGTAGGGCAAAAGAGTAAAATACTGATTTACCCTCATTCTACCCACATCTGAAAATCCTCTTATTTTTAATTGGGATTGGTTTTAGACAAAAGTATCCATTCTGAAACATTTGACCATTTTTCGTTATCAACATTTTCTGCTTGCATCCAATTTTAACTGATGCGTAAGCAATGAGATCATCAGGATAGAAGGAAATTTTAAAAGAAAAAAAAAAAAAAATCTTATCAGTGAAGTGAGTTTGCCTTCACAAATAGGAAAATTTACTTACTCTCCATTCACAACAATTATGTGATCACCTTCCTCAATTTCTAACTTGTTAGGCTCAGAAAAATTCTGTGTAGCTTTCATGTCTTTTGGTCTTATCTGAAATCAAAATAAATTTTAAGAATCAAAAAAAGTTTCAATAATTATGCTCTTTCAAAATATACCAGAACATCTTCAGTTTTATTCAGGTCTTATAGAAGTAGCTGGAGGAGAGATACCCCATGGCAGGAACATAAACATTTTCTGTCAGTAAATTATTTTTTATCAGTTTTAAGTTTTCAACACATTTTAAGAGACTAACAGATTCTGAGGGCTCTGATGTCAAGAAGCTGACTTTCATGGCTAACCTTATACTGTACTTTATTAAGACTTTATAATTGTATCTTTACTCTTATTCATTTCTTTTTGATTTTATTTCTTATTTTGTAACTAAAAATACTTCTGGAAAAGAAGTCACTTCCACTTTAAAAGTTTTCACTATTGACAAAATCAATTATAATTCTCATTTGTTAATCAAATATTATCTACAAACCTTTTTTTAAAAAAACTATCTTCATCTTTAGTTAATATAAATCTTTTTTTGACATCCCAATTAAAACACCTATGAGAACAACTGACAAGATCAGTCGGAATTTTAACAGTACATTTATGCAAAGTACTACAAGGTGTCTGGAAAGGATCCAGATAGTAAATATTAACAAAACATAGCCTATCTGGAGCAATCATGCCTTAGTCCACTTCAAAGTATTCTCATTGGAACCTGATGCCAGCATTTCTGCCACTTTTCAAAACAGTTTTCAGGGTCTTTTTTTAGAATCCCTGTCAGTTGCAATGTTAGATTTTTGTTTATTTAAGTTCAATCCGAAATTTCATATCCCCTCCTGTTTCACAGTAATGATTATTTTAGTTTTGAGAAAATCCAGAAGTTGTAAAAAGCCATTCTGCATAGTAAGGAAACTAGTAGACATGAGTGATGAAATGTGTTGCCTCCCCCCCCCATAGAGAGGAGAAAAAAAAAATTCCTGCACAATACAAACTCACTCAATGTAATTTCACTGGCAACTGAATAACCCCCACGAGAAAATGTATCTTCACACATACAGAGTAAGATCCCCTCAGGTTAGTTGGCAAGTCGCACAACCAGTTTTTTAAAATATTCAATATGGCAGAATACTTTTCACACATAACTTGTGTATTCACAGAGAGAAGAAAAAAAAAACAACTTTCAGTTGGCAATGAATATGAATATTGTATAAAAATAATCATTACTGATGATCCAAGATTTCTACCTTGGTTCTTGGAGTATGCCTAAGTAGACATACTATCAATAGTCATTTACATGTGTAAATTATTTTCAGATAGTATGTATCTGTTGATAAACAAAATGAATAAAAATATGTTGAAAAATCAAAAGAAAACAGTTATGTCCATCTCACAATCTAAACAATATTCATCTAGAATAAAAAAAAAATCTTGAATATTACTTGCTTACTTTTTACCAGACTTTGAATTATGGCACTTAGTGTCCTCCATATATTTTAACTGACCTTTCAACCACCCGATGAACATTCACAAACATTCTCAAATTTATAAACCTTGATAAACCAATGACATCCTTGCTTTTGTACATAAACATGTGCAACAAAATAAATCCTACAGTTGCCTTGATAAAGTCCCTCAGAGGACGAAATGTGTTGGCTAAGAATGGTTTTTCCTCTTGTCACTTTTTATTGACATGATATAAATAAACACAAGAAATTTTGCTTAAAAAATAAAAGTTCATAACAAACAGACTGTCATATAAAGAAATAAAAAGATAATTGTGGAGTATAATTTATTTACACTATGGAAGATTATATGTGTCAATGTTTTCACAATAAAATTGATATTAATTAAACAATGTTGGTAAAATTTTCAGGATGTATTTATATTTATATAGTAAATACACCATGTGAATTTAAATTTATAAAATTTGTTTTTATTCGTAATATTTACAATAACTTAGTCTTCAGAGACTATATTATGCAACTTGAACAGTTCATCATTTAGTAAATAAATATTTTGAACAACATTGATATTTTTCAGGTATATAAAAATTGCCATGGGTCATAAGAAATATAATACCTCTAAAAAGAAACAAGATATTGAGTGATGAGTGTACAACATTAGAAAATGTAGAAACCTGAACAGAGATAACAGAACAATAAAAAAAATAAAATAAAAATGTGTAAAGTAACAAGAAAATTGGTATTAAGAATATCACAAAAAAGAAATTTGAGAAAAATTAAAAAAATAATCAGCAAGAAAATATTTTAAATTCATGTTGAAAATATTAACAAAGAGAAAAATTCAGAGTAATTGGCAAGGAACATGAAAACAATCAAGTTACCACTTTTAAGTAAATATCACAAAGAGAAACATACAAATTAGTCAAAAAAGTACATAATACTCAATAGTAATTGTTAGTAATAAATATAAAACCTGATGGGTTGGCTAGAGGTTGGGCTATTCTTTGAAATAGTTACCCAATATGACTTACAAGACAACAATATGGGATGTGGAGCAATGTTTTCAGCTAGTATTATAGGCAGTAAAATTACAATTCCCTTCAAATTTGATGATGGTATCAAAATAAATTCAGAAACTTATTTTTAAACAAGGAGAGTTTTTTTTTTAATAATATGGGTCATAAGTTAAAGTGTATATTTATATAAAACAAAAGTTGCCTATTGCCCATTTTAAAAAATTTTCAAAGATACCAAATTATGTCACCAGATCCTCTACATATTAATCCAAGATAAAAATCGTGGTCCATCATGAAAAGGGAATGTATGAGAGAATGGTAAACAATATTGAAATACAGCAAATCTTTGCGAAGCAATAAAAACTACTTCAATTATGTTAAAATCAAATCTGTAGAAAAGTTGACAGAATTAATCACAGAAAGATTGATGAAAATTATTGAACATCGATGAGGCCATATTAACAAGTTATTTTTTTTTGTTATTTTTTAATCATTTCACCCCAAGCAAGGTAATAATGCCACTAGAACTCAGGATTAGGGAAAGGGAAAGAGAATAAGAAGACTGAGGAGGATTGATAACAAAGAAAAGAGTACTGAACTGCTACATAACATCAGGAAGAGGCAGCCGAAATTTCTGGGACATATGAGAAAAAAGGGCTTAGAGAATCTGATACTCACAGGGCGAATAGAGGGAAAGAGAGACAAGGGAAAACAACATGTGACATATCTAATGGGCTGAAGCAAGTGGGTGACAGAAAAGGGTCTAGGAGAAATAAAAGGACAAAACTTATTGAGAGCTACAAGGGACAGAAAGATGTGGAGAGCCATAATCGCCTACATCCTGAAAGGACACAGCATATAAAAGAATAAAGAAGCAGTATTTATTTTGTCTATACACCTGCATACTCAAGAAAATTTAATAAAAAGAAATGTACTCCTTGGCATTTTTTATTAAGTTTTATCCACTAAAACTGATGTTTGAAGTAATAAAAATGTCGGATTAAAAAATAAAATCCATTAATTCTTATGACTAATAATGCAGTGAATTTATACAAATAAAAGATTTTGTTAAAATGGAAAATTTTGCATTAACTTAATTCATTCAGAAATATCTAAACTGTCAGCTGTATACAACCGCTTTCTCAGATCAACTGTGAAAAAAGTCTTTGAGTGAGTAAAGCCTGTGGGCCTTAATGACTGGTACTATAGAATCACAAAGAACTGTACCAAATAACAGAAACCACATCACTTGAGGACATTCAACAGCAGCAACAACTAAAATGGATAGCACACATAACTTAAAAAGAAAAGAATGACATAAGATGTTGACATTTCACACTACTTCAAACAAAAGATTAGGAAGGAAACCCTGGAACATGTAATAAGAATTAATGATTTTGAAAAATCTATTTCCTTGAAAAATTGTCTTCATAGAAATATTTTATAAATTTTAACCGATGGTAGAACAGGCTGCTCAGTCAATGAATGTCAAAGGTTTCCGCATAAGGAAATGGCTAATATTACCATAACTGTAATGGAATGTCCCACACTCCCTATCGCATATGTAGACTGACTATATCAGTAGATATATATAATAAGCACAGGATATACGTGGCAGACTTGCTTCAGGAATTACTAGCTTGCTAACCGATTCCCTGTCTTTCAGTAGTGTATTCTTTTTTACAATAAACCTCTTTCTTTCATCTATGCCCATGTTGCTGTTCTTTTCACTTGAGTACCACCTTTGTCTGTTTGTAACTTCTTTTAAAAGATACAACAATTACCATTAACAGACAGAATACGGAATGTAGCATATACCTGTTTATGCCAATTTTTGTATCTTTATTCTTAATATATTTTAAACATTGCATTTTACATCTGTCATGTAAGCAGAAAATATCATTCTTTGTAAAGAAATTTTTCTTTTTACATAAAAAAACAAAACATCTCTATCTTTTATCTTGAAATACAGTTCCCCGTCTCCATTCTGGATATAAATCTAAAAAATCCTCTGATGAGTTAGAAGCCATTGTCAAAATGCAAGATAAATAACCCAAACAGAATTAATGAAGTTTGCAATGAAAAGAAAAAAAAAGGTCAAAAAAAGATGAAACAGCAACAATTATGCATGAAAGCAAGCAATATACTTAAAGCAAATCTAAACAGTAAGAAGGTAAAAGAATTCAGAATGAGTTGGTGTTTCTACACAAAAACAAGGTTGGACAATTGAACACAGTAGGTCTGTTTAGTAGATAAGGCAGATCTGGCATGAGGTTATTTACCTTAGCCTCCCCATCAGGAAGGATGTGCCACAAGGGCTTTTTTTTTTTTACATGAGGCAATTCCAAGACTGTAGACTTAAGCAAAAATTCCCCGCAGACCCCACATACATGGGGTCAGGCTTGTTTACCTCCCCAGACATAACTCTGTCCTTTGGCATAGCCTTGTCTGGGTTTCTTTCTGCCCGAAGACAGAGTTTGACTAGTTAGCCCAAACTGCCTGAAACAGCAGATCTGGATTGAGATGTCAAAATGCAAGCCACACCATTTTATTGGCTAAGAAAAATATCCCAGCATGCATTTTTTTGTCTTTCTGACTAAAAGAGGTGGGGGGGGAACTTTTGCAATCATTCCTACTCCTTTTGGGAAATCAAGATCCTCTAGTGACCAAATAATTTATGCTTACCTTACAGAGATAATCTCGAAGGGCCATAAAGGTAGGTCTGTCCTGAGGTTTGTGTGCCCAACATTGCAACATCACTTGATAAATGTAAGTAGGACAGTATTCAGGTGCAGTGAGACGTTCATTTTCACAGTCTATCTTTTGTAAAACCTTAAAAGAGAGAGCAAAAAAAAAATAAAAATATTAAAATTTGTAAACATTATTATATTATTGATGCATAGAACCATAATTTTCTAGTAGATCATTAATATGGATCAAAGTGTCAAATACTGTAGTCATTTCCTTGACAATTTAGCAGACTATTTAATATAAATAATATTACCCTTTTAACTTTAGTGATAGTGGCATATTTTTATCTGTGACCCTGTAAAGATAATCAAGCAGATTCTACCAATGGATTTGGTGTCTACAATATAAAAATGTTTAACCATTTAGACTTTTCAGTCATACATATGGCATTAATAAAGAGAAAAATTAAGAAATTCTTCATGAAATAGATACCACTCATAAATCTATTTTTTCTGCAGCTTTATACTGTAACATTTCTTGCATCGAAACTTAGAACTCTACTACATATTTATAATGGAATTGTAAGAATAAATATGCCAGGGCCCGGATGAATTCAACATAAATATGCCAGGGCCCGGATGAATTCAATATAAATATGCCAGGGCCCAGATGAATTCAACATAAACATGCCAGGGCCCGGATGAATTCAATATAAACATACCAGGGCCCGGATGAATTCAATATAGACATACCAAGGCCCGGATGAATTCAATATAGACATACCGGGGCCCGGATGAATTCAATATAGACATACCGGGGCCCGAATGAATTCAATATAAACATACCGTGGTCCGGATGAATTCAATATAAACATACCGGGGTCCGGATGAATTCAATATAAACATGCCGGGGCCCGGATGAATTCAATATAAATATGCCGGGGCCCGGATGAATTCAATATAAACATGCCAGGGCCCGGATGAATTCAATATAAATATGCCGGGGCCCGGATGAATTCAATATAAAAATGTCATGGCCCAAATTAATTCAATATAAAAATGTCATGGCCCAAATTAATTCAATATAAAAATGTCATGGCCCAAATTAATTCAATATAAACAGTGTTAGATTTAATTGAATTTCATATAAATAGGCTAAAGCCTACATGAATTTGAAGTCACAAAATTAAAAAGTAATTAAAGCACACAAGGTAAATCTAAAAAATAAATAAAAACCATCTTTTATTTGATGAGATAAAGATGGTTATATAGTGCACAGTTAAGTTCTATGAAAATCTAACAGACAAAACTAAGAAAAGGAAACAAAACAAAACAATTAACATTTGTTTTTTTTTCATTAGTTTCCACTAATTAATAAACTTATATCAATTCCCTCTAATCATGAAAATTTTGGTCTGGTAGGCTTTTGTCTAACTTCCAATAACATTGGTCTCTTCTTTTCTGGCAACAGCTCAAAATCTGACAACTTCATCAAACTGGAATCTAACGAAAAAGATACACAAGAATGGTCAATTCCAGAGAAAGATCTTCAAGATCAAATTACCTTTAGAATTTGACTCCAAATTGAGTTTTTAATTAGAATTTTTAATTTTGCACTTTAATCTTATCAACACAGATAAGTTAACTTATGGTGGGGGAACTAACAAGCCTGAGAAGTTATGGCTCTGTATCATGACTATAACTGTGTCCAATGAGAAAAATCCTTTTCTTTTTTTAAATCACATTTCATGTTTGGCCTGAGGGCAGATAGAATTAACCAGCAAAGGTTAATGATAATCTCTGAAACTGAATAAAAGCCTTGATAGTACCAGAAAATTTTCATTCCTAATCTGTAAGTGAATCCAAAGGAACTATTTGTAGATCGTACAAGGCTTTTTATTATATATACAAGATGACATAGCAGAATTGGTGTTAGAATCACAGAGATTTACAATTAAGTTGTCGTAAAATAACCAATGTATTTAGTCAAGATTGTTAAAACATTTCTTATAATTTTATTTTGATTAAAAGAATTTTATAACCTCAGATCCTTTGTATCCCATCCAAGGTTCTTGTCCATGTGTGAACATTTCCCAAAGTGTTACTCCAAACATCCATGTATCACTGGCATGAGAAAATTGCCGTGACTTTAAGCTTTCTGGGGCACACCTATAAATTTAAAAAAAAAAAAAAATACTGAATTATTTCAGCAGAAATTTCAATCACTTTAGACTGAATTTTTTTCCATTTGTGCAGAAGTAAAATACAGGATGAAATAATAAATTGCATTATCTAACTTCAGTATATATTTCTGAAAGACATTTAAAATTCCCAAGAGGCATATAGTGATCATTGTGTGTGTGTGTGTGTGCTTTGCAAGCAGTTTCCTAACACCAAAAGAAGGACAAAAGCTCATATAAACATGTCAGCAAATCCTTCATTTTTAAGTTAAATTTAAAAAAAGTTTACAGTAGATGGCACTGTGTTGCTGTGTAGACGAGATTGCATTTGTGTGCATTTTAGTCTGTTTTCTTTGTTTAACATGTGTAGTAGTGAGTTAACTGAGAAGTGTTCTGTTTAACAATGGCAGGATATTCATATCGTGTGCAGGCAGATATGATTTTTACATACAGCCACACAAATAGTAATGGACGTGAGGCTACACAGCTGTATCAGAATGTGTTTTAAGACAGAAGGCAGCTGAGTCCTCTAACCTTTGCTGCTGTTTATAGTTGCATTGCCATCCAGGTATCAGCACATATCAAGTGGTTCTAGCATGCCTTACATCTCATAGTGCCACAAGGAGGCTACTTCAAGAATAGCTCCTTTATCTGTATCATTTGCAATGTGGGCAAGGTCTTTCTCCATCTGATCACTCACCCTGGGAGAACTTTTACTGATTGTTTATTGCACAAACTGCTGATCCGTTGTTTGTCTCTACAGTCTTGTATACAGATGAGGCATCATTTGGAAGAGATAGAATAACAAATTTACACACCCAACATTTGTAGGTGGATTGGAATCTTCATGGTATAATACAGGCTAGACATCAGCATCAGTTTATGATTAATATGTAGGCTGAAATTGTAGGTGGCTGTCTGGTGTTCTTCCAGCACATATTACAGCAAGGCCTCTGATCAGGAGATTTTGATGAGCATAGAACCACCTCTTAATTGCTGGTGTTCCCAAGTCCACCCTAACCCAGGGTGATAGCACCTGTTAGGGTCCCAGCTATGGGCAAATAGTTAATCCCCAAACTGGGGTCAAAACACTATGAAAGTGTAAAAATAGGTTTTAGTACCAGCAATACATTTTGGAAGAAAAAATATTACCTGCAATACACTTTTGGAAAAAAAATATTAGCAGTAATACATTTTTGGAAAAAATATTACCAGCAATAAAAATCTTGTCAGCATTAAATAACCCATTGAGGTTGATACGCCATAAAACAAACCAAACTACTTTTAACAAGGAAAAAAGATTTTACAAGAAAAATCCTAAGAATTTGGTACTTGAAACTTCCAAATTTAAAACAGGAATTTCAGTCCTCAGACTTCTCTTAAATATATAAATTCATCTTTGCTTTTTTTTTTTTTTTTATCATCTCCACTCACAAAATCTCACACAATAATGGATGATTGGCAAAGAGTTTCAGATAGCTCAGTGGAGCAACAGTTAGTAAGTTAGTCAAAATTGACCATTACTACAATAGTGAGGTTCATTCTTCGTAGGAGCCTCATAGAAATCAAAATGAAACTATGTTCACGTCACTTGGAAAAGGCATGAATGTACTTCTCCCTGCACTGTTATCAGCAGATATCTTGACAAAAAAATGCCTTATTGGTATTCTACAGCACTTGACAAAGAGTAGGTGAGTGAGCACTTGAACAAATCACTCTCCCATAACTACCTTGCTTTGACATTGTCAAAATATATTACATTGTTGTTGGTTATGTGGCTGTAGGTCCATGGTTCTATCAACTTTTTTGCATGTTTATTGCTCATCATAGTAACTTGAAAAGCATGTTTTGGTGACTGCTGTCATTGTTTAGTTATGGATAGTGTTGGTTGCATCCTCATGTTCATTTCCATAACTTTCTTAGGACCAATATACTAAAATTGGTCTATCCCTGTCTTTTTAGGAAAATCAAATTAGTTATCTTTTCACCTGGAGAGAGGTTCCTTCTTGTGCTGTTAAACAGTACAAAGCACAGTCTGAATTGACTGCTTTTATTGACTAATCAGGAAAATCTTTCCAAATATTTGTCAGCGAAAGGGAGAGAGGAAGCGAGTGAGAAACACTTAATTCATAGCAGTTTCAGGCCAGCGTGTTTAGTAAAAGGCAAAAATTCACACTGAAATGTTTTTAAATATAAACTCCTCTTAAAAGAAAATCCTTTGCCCTTCCCTAATTGATAATTTGTTAATTATGTTCAACAATTCACAGTCGAATGAAAAGACACTCAAGCCTGCTAGATTGACTTTGATAAATGAAATTGTTTTCTTCACTTTATCTTATTGCAACATGATACTTAAGTGTGATCTTATGCTGACCCCATCAAATCACTCAAACCTGATTCATTCTGATACCCAGTGATAATTGTTTTCAACTCTCTACAAGTTATTTGTCTATTTTTTTTTTCTGGTGAGAATTTTTATACGTTAGAAAATTTTCTGAGCTCAAGGGTATGAGATATTTATACATTGTATTTCCAACAACATGTATGAGCCGTTTGAGAGTTAGAAAGAAAAACAAAAATCTCTTTGGCCTTACAGCCACCTGACATTGAAACACCAGTTCCAGTAAGATCACTGAAGTTAAGCAATGTCAATCCTAGTCTGTACATAGATGAGTGACTGCTTGGGAATACCAGTGTTGTAAGCTTGGTTATGCAGGTGGTGTAGTGGATAATAGCTTGGAATTGTTAATCAGAGCCAAGTTCCAATTCCCATTGAGTTCGTTATATTCACTTATGTGCAAATACCCTTGGGAAAGGTATAAGTCCCCCTCTTCTCCCCCAGTTATGGGTTAATTAGTAACACTTGTATCACTAAAACCATTATTATCTAAAAAATAAAATTTTTTAAAAATTAAAAAAAAAATTCTTACAATCTAAAAAATATTTTTTTCTGGCTTTAAATAACCTGCAAAGGGTTCATAAGCCATAGAAAATGAATTAACCAACCAATCTAAAATCTCTTAACAAGCTACAAAATTAATTCACTTCTAACCTTAATCATTAAATTTATACCTTTAATGTTACATTACCACCTGGGCAGTTGTCATAGTAATATGCTGTAACATCCATTTTCAGGGATAAGCAAGTGTCCAAATATCAATTGGGGAAAATGGCTTTGGTTTAAGATTTGAAGCAAACCAACCCAGAAAGTGAAAAGCTTAAGTTACTTGCCAAACAAATGAATTTTCCTTCTTCAAAATCTGTATGAAAAGAGAAACAATTACAAATGCTTGATTGAATGCCTCCATTAAATCCAGGACTCAAGAGACATTTTTGTGCTAATCTTTCCATTTTACCTACCATGCAAAGGGCAGTTTCTTCTGTTCAGACATCACGTAATGATCTTCCTGACTTGGTAATGCACGCATCAGACCAAAGTCTCCGATTTTTACCTGAAAGGGCAAAACAAAAAGAATTAAATAAACAAAAAAAGGAAATATATAATATAAATAAATTGGATGTGTATATTCTCATTATGGATGTGTGGATGACTTAATAATTAATGTCACAGAGAATGGAGTTGGCAAACAGAGTTCAATCTTTAGCTGGTATAGTTTGCATTTATTCTAGACTAATGTCCTTGGGAAAGGCATGAATCTAATTTTTCGCCCTTTAGTTCTGTAAGGTATTCCATGTTGGGCCCCAGGTTAGCACCTTGGCTCCATAAAAATTTGCTTGTTATTGAAACCAGAAGAACATTTCTTGGTGGAACTGCAGCTGTGTGCTTGATAAAGAACCTGCAGAAACAAACTATTTACTTTTGTTCATTAATATTAAAACAAGAATTTTCAAATGCACTTAAAATCAGTCATGTAACCATAAATCACATTTTCTTTTGAATTGGGTTTTGTTTTAATCAAAGTTACACAAGAATTAATTAAAGAGTGCCTTCTGTCTGAACAGCTTATAAAGTAAAAAGTGGGTTTTTTTTGGTTGCTTTTATTGATTTTGTTTAGCAGCATATCAACATCTGTATGGGTTATTTAATACCAAATTCTAAATATCCAGCATGCAATTTTATGCTTTCAGCTACAGATACCATCTTGTACATAATTTTATACTCTTGAGGTAAAAAGTATGTTTTTTTTAGATATATAGAGACTGTAGATCATAAAATGTATTGTTGGCAATTTTACTATAAAAATGTATTTAGATATATATATATATATATATATATATATATATATATATATATGTGTGTGTGTGTGTGTGTGTGTGTGTGTGAACAAGTATATAATTGGTGTATACGGAATGAATTCCAATAACCAACAATTACTATTCTTAAAAGAGTGCTCAATACAGAGTAGAGCAGATATAATTATTTATTTAAAAAAAAAAAAAAAAAAAAAAAAAAAATTATAACATAAATATGTTATAAAATCACTACAAAAATAGCCATTTTGTTTCAACATCTCGGTGTCTTACCAAGTGATGATATTGAATGTAAAATAAATGGTTTTAATTCAACATCATCACTTGATAAGACACTGGAGGTGTTGAAACAAAATGGCTATTTTTTGTAGTGATTTTATAACATATTTATGTTATAATTTTTTTTTTAAATAAATAATTATATATTATTTTAGCGCTACATTGTCATTTTGCTATAAAAATGTATCGGTTACTTTATTATAAAATGCACTGATTTTTGTTTGGAAATTCACTATTTGCCCATAGCTGGGACCTTAACAGGTGCTACCACCACAGGTCAGGGTGGACCTGGGAACAGCAGCAGTTAAAGGGTGATTCCATGCTTCTCAAAATCTCGAATGCTAGATGCTCAGATGTTTATCATCATACCTAGGACGCCCTTTTTGTTTTCAGTGTGTGTGCATGTATGTGTGTGTATATATATATATATATATATATATATGAGTATATGGATATAATAATCTAATTAAGTATGGATTTTGATATGTTTTTTGCCTGTACGCACATGTGGGTGTGTGTATATATATATATATATATGTGTGTGTATGTATGTATGTATGTGTATATAGATATGTAGGTATATATGTGGGTAGATGCATGTGTGTATGTATGAGTATATATATGTGTGTGTGTGTGTGTGTATATAGATATATGTATATATGTGGATATGTATATGTGTGTGTATGTGTACGGATAGGTGTATATGTGTGTATGTGTATATTTATAAATATATAGAATATTATGAAAGAAGGACTTACAGTACTGTTATTAATGTTTATCTCATTTTCTCCTTTAATATTCTCCAATTGGTAGTGTGATTCTTTATAATATGGAGGTAAATTTTTAAATTAATAATTTAATTTAAATTGAAATATATTACCTTTTAATAATCATTATTGATGATAAAATATTTAAATTGTATAATTTTTTGATATTTAGGTAGGTGTTAATACATGAAATTACCTGTGTATATCGGTACATATGTATGAGTGATTGCACATGTAAAGGAACGTATGTATAAGTGAGATTTGCATGGGTGTGTATACAGTATATGACAGAGCAAGATCTTTAATATTACCTTCAAATATTACCCCATATTAACTCAACTAAAATTTAAGTAAAAGAGATTACCTATCTAGAAAGAGTCACGAGTTAAATTCATGAACAAAATTCAAACGGATAGAGATGTCAACTTAATAATCAATAATTAAAAAAATTTTAAAAAGATAAAAAAGATTACTAGAAGTAAACTTATATTTTAAAATAAAATTTTATTCTTTTAATGTACTTTCTATGAATATTTTTCTAATCGACTATTTCATAGAAAATCCCAAAAATTTAAAAAAATTGAAATCACTAACAAACATCAAATTAAATTCTTTGTAGACAATTTAGACATTCAAATTTATATCAAACATTATAATCTTTATGAACCCCCAAATTAACACTTTCAAAGTAAAACAAAATGACGTCTTTTTCTAGCCGTTTTTTTTTTTCCAAAGAAAATTAGTGACACCTTCTCTCATGACTTCCTTCTCTCTTTTTCTTTTTATGTTTTTTTTTCTCCTCTACCCCTTTGATATCAATATATAACTTCCGTTAAGTTAACTGTTTAAATGTGTCAATGTCTGAACCTCCTCAAGTAATTTTAAGTATAAAAGAATAGAAATTTTAAACTACATCTAACTCACTCATGTCTTCTCTCTCCCCGCTCACTTCGTTAATTTACATATGTTTAATACGGCCCGTCAGAAATGTGTAAATTTCTTTTCATTTTTTGTTTCAACCTTTCGAAGTAAAGTCTGATGATCTGCAGTCCTTTAAAAGGGCGGGCTATGGTAAAATAATTTATTACATGGAACTTTAAAGTGGTCTGTTTTTATTTAAAATATATATATATATATATATATATATATATATATATATATATATATACATATTCAAATAAAACGTTATTATTTGAAATTTGAAATAGATACTTTTTGTTTTTTTTAATTTTAGACCTTGTGTTACGTCTATCAGTCTGCACATTCAAGACATCTTAAAAAAACAAACCCAGTGATGCTCTCTGTAGCCAAGTAGTAAAGCATGTTGGATCAAACAGTCATTTCTCCTCCAAAGGAGGGATGCAGGTTCAATCCCAGCCAGAGAGTATGTTTTTCTTTATCAAAATTTATCCAATTTATGACTGATAGACATAATACAGAGTTTAAAATAAGAAAATAAAAATGAGGCATGTATTTCAAATATGAGCATCCGCTATAATGTTTGAAATAATAAAAATGTCAAATTATATATATATATGAGAGAATTATTGTAGTGTGATTTATGTCACAATTAGTTTCCTCCCAGCAAAAATGACGCCACGTGCAAATAATATTTTGTTATGGCTGTACAGATTTTTTCCTCATGTGAATGTTTAAATATATTTTTTTCAAATTATTATTGCTATACTTTGCATATTCACCAAGCCAGTCCTTTCACCTGTGTTTCATGAATAATTTGCCATTATCATAAAAAAAAAAAAAAGAAAGAAAAAGACTCTTCTCACCTAGCATTACTATCACAAGAAAGAAGGCTCTCGTACATCAAAAGTTACAAACATATACAAAACCACTTAACATATATATACAACTTACATCAGAGGTATGGAATGAAACATATGCATACGCACGCACGCACACACACACACACACACACACACAAAAACACACACAAACACATTTATGTCCTATTCCATACCTCCGTCAGTATGCCAGTTGGTAAAAACTACCAGCCTATTTAATTTATTTATTTCAAGGAAACCAAGCCCCAAATATTAACATGGTTGACATTACGATTTGGGTTTCTGTAGCGGAAACAAAATGCAGATGAAGCAGCCAATCACTACTGATAACAATACCAGCCCCCATCGGTCGAAGAGACAATGTTTGAAATTCATTCATCCTTGTTTGTGTTTCAGCTGCATTCGTCTCAAATGTGTCATGTTCCCATGTGGAAGTCTTGTTCATGCCCTACCCATTCTGATCCAGTTTTTGGCTCTTGAAATATTTGATTCCAGTGCTGCTGATTTTTCCATCTTTTTTCATTGGCAGATACCCAACTAGTAAGAAGAAAATCTTACTGTATCACATCTGCTTATTTTACATATGAATACTAATAGGTATGTCCCAATCCTCATAAATACGTTGGACACTATTGTAAGTGGGGGTAATATGCTGTCTAAGTAGTCCACTACTAGCAGTGGTTCACCTACTTCACAACGCTGGCAAGTATTGTATTTTGTTGATGTTATAAAGATTACCATTTCATTTCCAACCCCTGTTTTGGTTATTCCTAATTCAGTAACCTTTTCTAGGTTACAACACTTATACAAGTTTTTCTTCTAGCTTATTAATTCAAGAGTAAATCTTATGGCGTTGATCCATATCAAGGCAATCATTTTTCTCTCTCCAGAAAATAAGAATAACTCACATGACATTGAGATACAAACATTGATTACTATCTGAATTTCTAGGATGAAGAGTTATTTACATTATCTACATGCCAACTATTGTTCTTATCTTTCTTGTTATTACATCTTGCTTATACAAGATAACAGATGAGGACAATAGTCCACATATGAATAGTTAAATAATAATCTATTACTTGTTAACTCTTACCATATCAGGAGTAGCAAGGAGGACGTTTCGACAAGCGAGATCTCTGTGGATGTATCGTTTGGATTCCAAGTAACTCATTCCATTGGCTATTTGTACAGCATAATCACACAGGGTACTGACCAAAAGCTTAGGACCATCCTGGCAACGAAGTTTGTCCAGTAATGCTCCTTGTGGTGCTAATTCTGTCACCTAAGCACAAAAAACAAAAAAAAAAGTAGCTAATAACAGAACAAACGCAGTATGATATTCAGACAAATTTGGCATTTCTTTTGGGCTTGAAAAGTAAAATATAATCTCATTTAATGATAGGGATTTTTTTTAATAATTTATGTCATTTCGGAATTCAGGAATAGTTATTACATAGCTACAAGCAATCAAGACTTTCCTGAATTACGAGACACATCAATAATCAATTGAGTACAAACAATGGTAATAATTTTAGTGAGTATTGATTAGATTTTATTTAATGATTACAGTTCTTAGTCATAGCAAGTAAAAGGAAAATAAAAATAGAAAAACAATTATGATTCTCATGTGGATGTCATCTTAATGCTAATTTAAACTTTTGCTCTTGTATAAAATATTTTTAGAATAAAAAAGACAAACAGGAAGAGATACTGAAGTTGTGAAAAAAAAAAAATGTAAATTAATTCTCTCTTGGCTGAAAAATTACTTAATTAGAGCAGACACCAGCTACCCCACAGCAAGAAAGAGAAAAAAAAATTTACCAAAACTATAAGTTTTTCCTTCTCTTCTCAGTTCTATTACATGACACATGTTGCTTGTGAGTAAATATAAAAAGGCTAGAACAAGTGAGCTATTTTATGCCTCACTCCTCATTAAACTGAAGACAAACAAGTCCTTTAATTCAATTAGATTATTTTTACTAAACCATAAAAGGAATTCTAACTCTAGCAATATACTGGAGGTAAAGAAAAATTTTAAAAATCCTTAGCTCATATGTTAAAAAAAAAAAAAAAAAAAAAAAATATCAGCTTCATGAGAAAACAAATGGATAAAAAAAAAAAAAAACTGAACAATATCCCTTGGAGCTTTAACTTAAGCAGAGACAAATGTTCAATTCTTTTTTTTTCCCCCCAAGCAAGGTGATAATGCCACTAAGACACAAGGAGCTACAGGAGTGAAAGAGAAGGAAAAGACTTTAGAAGGAGCCAGAAACCCAATCCTAAACAGGAAACAATGGATAAACCTCTACTCCTGTTCAAAAGACCCAGAAGGAGTGTGAACAAAAGGCAAACCTATCTACTCCTATTGAGGAAAAATAAATAAATAAATAAAAATAGTAAATAAAATTTCAGAGATTAGAAGAAGACGCTAAAAGTATAGAGTTGAAGATTTTTACATTTCACAAAACAAATATTTAACAATAACAACCTATTATTAAAATTAACACGAAACATTACTTACTTAATATAGAGCATTACAAAAATCACTTGTTTAGTAGTCACATATTTACTGAACATGGGACCTTGTAAAAGTAACATGTTTTTTGACATTTATATAACATACACTTTCTAAAGAATGGATTTATTTCTGACATTTTTATTACTAGAAGTGTTATTATTAATGGATACTCATATTTAAAATAAATGCCCCATTTTTATTTTAAACTGTGTGTATTATTCCTATTAGATGCAGGTTCAATCCCTGCTGAAGAGCACATTTTCTTTAAGCTTTCTTAAATGTGCAGGCCAATAGACACAGTTTAAAATAAAAATGGGGTGTCTATTTCAAATATAAGTATCCACTATTAAAACAAAATAATATAGACATACATACAAGGTGCTACCCTTGTTCACTACTACCTTGAATATTTGAATACTAAAGTTTTTATAAGTGTTACCGTGAGAAACTGCTATATAACATTAATTATGTTTTATTTTAGTAGAATAAAATTAGAAAACAGGTATCAAGACATAAAAGTAGGTGAATTTCAGAAAGCAGGATATTAAATGTTGCTTCATGCTGAACAAGAATCAGAAAGTAAAAAATTTTTTTAAATAAATAAAAATAAATAAATAAAATAAATAAATGAAAAATAAATAAGAATAAAATAAAAAAGTACAGAAATAAAATTTCTAAAAAACTTATCCTTTACATAATTCATAATGCGTTGTCAGTTTATTGCAGACTTTATTTGGTCTGAAAAGACTTACCATCATTAGAGGAGAAGAAAGAACAACACCAAAGAGTCGTATTAAATTCTCATGGTCCAAAGAATGCATTGCATTCACCTCTTTAACAAAATCTTCAAATCCTCCTGGCAATGCTAAGACATCATGTCTCAGAATCTTCACGGCAACTAAACTCTAAAAGACAGAAAAAAAAAAAAAAATTTTCAAATAGAGATTTATTAATTTGACAATTCATTATTTTAAAAGAATATTTTTATTTTTTTTTTTATTTAGTTTGATCAGTCATTGATGACAGAGAAAGGTTCTAATCCACTTCCAAAGTGTGTGTTGTGCCTTAATTAAAGATTAATTATTTTTGTTTTATTGATTGATTTGTTTTCTGCAGGTCATTTAAAGTCCAAAAATATATTTAGATTGTAAGAATTTGGTGTGTGTGTGTGGGGGGGGGGGTGGAATAATGAGTCAGTGATACAAGTCTTACTAATTAACCCACAGCTGGAGGGAGAAGAGGTGGATTCATGCTTTTCCCAAGGGCATTTGCATGTAAATGAAAATAATGAACCCAACTGGAATTGGAACTCTGCTCTCTGGTTAATAATTTCAAGAGATTATCCATTACACCACCTACACATTCAAGCTTATACCACCTTGTATTCCCAAATGGTCACCCATCTAGTACTGACTAGGCATTAATGCAAAAGTGAACATGACTGACAGGGCCAGAATTTGAACTTGGCATGCTGATTCCACTTTCTGCACCAATAATAATTATACTAAACACCTCCTTTTTTTTTTACTTTTTTTTTTTATTAATCATTTCACCCAAGACAAAGCAATAAAGCCACTAAGATGCAAGGGAGTTACTGAGTAAATTCTGTGCTATTATTGATTACACCACCTGCACATTTAATCTAACTGCATTTTTTAAAAAACAATGCAATTGAGGATACCTTTTTAAAAACATCAGTATTGTCAACAACTAATTCTATAGAATTCAAAGAGTGCACTTTTTTATGACAGCTAGTTTCACAGACAATTACCACTATCATGAGTTTCTCATTGAGTGCTCCACAATTATAGCCTTTTGCCAGGTTTAGTAAATACCTATACAATTAATAGTGGTCATTAAAATTAATTTGTGTCTATATAAATTCAATAACTATTAAATTATTCTCAAACATGATTTGTAACTGACTTTTATTTATTCTTGAGTCTACCAGATACCCACTTATTAAATTTTGAAAAATGAGTTTTAACACCCCACCTGCTTTTATTCCAATCTCCTGCTTAATTATTTTTATGGAAACGTACTAGAAAAGTTCTCAATTCTAAGAAAATGATTATTTAAAATTGCGAAATTGATTTGATATAGATTCTATAACTTGGATTTTGAAAAGAAATCTCCAACTCACACCCAGTTTAACTCAGCCTACCCAATTTTTATTCAAGGGTTAAGAGGACAGATTTAAATTTTTCATTCTACCAGTTGAGACCTTTACATCTAGGATATACTATGCTATGCAAACAGAGTTGAATCGCCTTCATTTCAACAGAACAAAATCCCACAGGGATACTTCCCTGAACACTACAATCTGAACTTCTTCAAGACAAAAGTGGCCCTCGAACCTTGTATTGGATGAACTTTAGCATATATTATTATTATTATTATTATGAGGAGAAGAAGGAGAAGGAGAAGAAGAGGGAGGAGGAGGAGAAGGAGAGGGAGAAGGAGGGAGAAGGAGAGGGGGAGGAGGGGAGGAGAGGAGAGGGAGGGAGAGGAGGAGGGAGGAGGAGAGGGAGGAGGAGGAGAATAGGGAGGAGGAGAATAGGGAGGAGGAGGAGGGGGAGGAGAAGGAGGAGGAGGAGAATGAGAAGAGGGAGGAGGAGAGGGAGGAGGAGAGGGAGGAGGAGGAGAATGAGAAGAGGGAGGAGGAGGAGAATGAGAAGAGGGAGGAGGAGGAGAATGAGAAGAGGGAGGAGGAGGAGAATGAGAAGAGGGAGGAGGAGGAGAATGAGAAGAGGGAGGAGGAGGAGGAGAATGAAAGAGAGAAGAGGGAGGAGGAGAAGAATGAGGGAGGAGGAGGAGGAGAAGAGGGAGGAGGAGGAGGAGGGAGGAGGAGAATGAGGAGGAGGAGGGAGGAGAGAAGGAAGAGACAGAGACAGACTAAAAAACTTCCTGTCAATTTAAAAAGTTTACATCTGATCCGGGATTTTACTTGCCTTTGTTCCTGATGGTGTTGTCCAGTCCCCTTTTCGTACCACACCAAATGAGCCATTTCCCAGCTTGTTGTAGAGAACCAAGGATTTTTCATTAATCAAGCATGTCAAAGACTGCTCTGTTGATTTCTGGCCTTTTTTCGTCAACGTAGATTTTTCTGTCTTCCCCCCAGGAAGAATCTGAAAAATAAAAATAAAATCAATATCATTTTGATAATCAGTTTCAATTAATTAACTTTGATTATTTTCCATATTTTACAGAATACCCAATCAAAGAGTTAAAGATTATTAGCAAGAAATTGAGACAAGACTGTTCATCTTTCTTACAAGGATTGATGCAAAAGCTTCTAGTATTTTTGGGACAAAATCTTTTATTCATAAATTAGTCATATCATTATTCAGTTATCAAAGCAGGTTTCCTTGACCACAGACCATCTAAATTGTATATTACATTATAATAGAATGCTTCCAATTTCACTTCAAGGAATTCTTTATGGAAGTCTTTTGATAGGTTGACTTTGTCAGAACCACTGGCCAGACAAAGAATGCAGTCAAAGAAATAAGTCTGAAAGTGAAAAATCTGAAGACAAACGTATTTCCCATCCTGTCCCATGATCATTCAGTGCATTGCATTTGCAACTAGAGGATAGGTGGTGCCATCTAGTAAAATTACTGGTCAACTTCCTTGCCCAGAAAAGAGAAAATCTTCCAATGCATCACTCAAATGAACCAATCAATCATTGTAGCATTGTGTTGAACATAGTTTGTCCAGATGTCAGCAATTCATTCAAGAAGAAATTCTTTTCAATCCAACCAAACAAAAGAATTTTTTTTTTCCTGGTAGTTTTCATTCATCTTGAAATATTGATAGATGTCCAGAATTAAGCCATAATCATCTAAATTGTTGTAATAAATTTATTTTTCATTTCCAATGACTTGTTCAAAATTTGAACTATTTCTGTGTTGAATCATAAATTCACATGGAGTATTATCTTTGCTTCTGAATTTTTTCTAGCTTTCAAATGGCATCCTAAATTTTGACTGATTACACAAGCAATAAAAAAAAAATGAATAAACTTCAAAAATACTTCTAAGATTTCCTTAACAATGTACAAAAGACAACACCAGAAATTTCTGCATCAGTGTGTTAGTAATTTTATTACCACTGTTTACTAATTTCCTCTTTCAATGATCAAATTAATTACAATAATGTTAATTACAATAAAGTGAGTAATATCTAAGTATCAAAGCCAAGTTTATGCAAGTTATTCAAATTTTATCAAAGACAATTTGGTATTTGCTCATTGTTGTTTTGCATAAGCAAAATTACAGTACTAAAAGAAGAAACCAAATGTTTAAGAACAACTTTCAGTATGACATATTGCTATAAAGTTTCTTTAACATAATTAAAGACTGTATTTAACAAAGACTATAGGACAGTGCAATAAGCTTACATTATAGAATGAGTTTGATTTCTTGTTTGGAAGTAGGAATTCCAAGATGATAACTCTAGTAAATGTTTGCAAGTTCTAATGTAACAAAACAAATAGGTTTCATCAGAAGAAAAACCTTGATATAGAAAAAAGACCTTTTATTTTCCTTATGGATTGTACACTTGACAAAGGCCTTAGAATAGATTGATTAAAATATTGTTATAACAACAAAATCAACATAAAGAACAAATTTCTCAACCAACTCTTAGAGTGATAATTTCTCTTTACAAAATTATCAAAATTATCTCAGTATAGTGCTTGGAGGTGATTGTGGCTGCAATTCTAAATTCTAGTCTAAAATCTGTACAGATTTTAGACTAATGCTGGGAAGATGTTTCATATAGTACTGAATATTTAAATTGTGTATATTTAGGCAGAAAATATTAAAGACAACAGATGCTTTGTGTTGACCAATTTTATTGATTGACTTTTCCAAATTACAACTAATCCTTCTCAGATAAAGAAGAAATTCTGTCAGAAATTGTCCAAAGTTCATTCTGAAAGAAATATGGTCCAAGTTTTTGACTTTCTTAAGTCATCATCAGGGTAGGTAAAGACAAATGGTGAGTTTTGTAGAACTGGTGAGTGTAGGGATGAGGACAAGGTGTGGCGTGTGAGTTTATTTTTTTTTTTATATACATTTGAGGATGAGGGTTCTTAAATTATAATTGTTTTTATTTAGATGATTGTTTTTGTTGTATAAGTATTGTTTCAAGGATCATAAGTGTTTTTACTATTTGATTTTGCTAGTATTTTGGTATTATTTCTGAGTAGCTGTCTAATGTTATGATGATACTTATGTTGCTTATTAATGTGTTGTCTGATGGCACACTGGTCCAATACATGGCAGGTGAGCCTGTGAGAATGTGATTTTTGTATATATCCTATGTATGAGGTTTTGTGGGTTTTTTTTTATTAACAGAAAAACATTCTTATTAATGTGTTGTCTGATGGCAGTCTTTGCAGATGGCTCAAAATGCATTTATTTGTAGATTGGAGGAGAAAACGAGATGCTATTTTAATGTAACAACTTTACTTGTATGTTTAATACATTATTATGCAGAAGGGAGAGACAATTCCAATGTGGACCACTGTTAGGAAGTGCCTGAAAACTATACTACAGATAGACTCAACCCTTATAAGGGAAATTGGGTAAACAAAAGTGTTTGGAAGCCATTGATGGTTGTGCTAGCAATCAGTTTGTAAGTAAGAGTTTGAGCATACTAGGTTTATTCAACTGTTGATCACACCTGATTATATACTCTCTCCCAGAAACTGTAACTAAGGTCTGCTCATCATAGTCATAATCATGTCAAAGGTTAATCATTATTTTTCTTATCCTTATAATCTTCCCTTCCTACCACTTTCTTTTTCATTCATACCCCCCCATTCATAATTCATTTTAACAGTAAACTTCTACCTTAAGTAATAATGCTCCTAATATTACCAATGTATATAAAAAAGATGTCGGCATATCAGGCATCAAAGAAGGAAAAAAAAAGAAAAGAATGAAAGTTACATGATTGGTTTGGTTTGTTTTATGGCATATCAATCTCAATGGGTTATTTAATGCCGACAAGATATTTATTGCTGGTAATATTTTTTTTTTCCAAAAATGCATTGCTGGTAATATTTTTTTTCTTCAAAAATGCATTGCTGGTATTAAAACCTATTTTTACACTTTTATAGTGTTTTGACTCCAGATTGGGGGTTAACTATTTGCCCATAGTTGGGACCCTAACAGGTGCTACCATCCCAGGTCAGGGTGGCCCTGGGAACACCAGCAATTAAGAGGTAGTTCCATGCTCCTCAAAGCCTCCTGACCAGAGGCCTTGCTGTTGGATGTAGGTTATCATACCCAGGACGGCTATATGATTGGATCTGAATTTTCTTAGCTGGCTGGTATTTATAGCCTACTCAGTAAAGCAGCTGGATTTCCTGGAAAGGTGCCAGCTGGAATTGAACAAGTTTATTTATTTTTGTCTATGTTGCTTACTAATGAATATAGTACAAGAGTCTCAGAATTATGATAAAAAATGCAACAAATATAAAATGAAAGGTTAATAACTAATACTTTTATTTCCAATTTCTGAGATAAATGTTTACTTAGAAAAAAAAATGCATTTTCATTTATTCCCTATATTGATACAAAATGTCTTAACTATGTCAAAATAGTCCTTAAATAAGAAAAATAGATAAAATAAAAATTACATTAGGAATTTATATATAAAATATATTTTCTAGAATTTTTTGATTAGAACAATCAAAAAAACTCAAGAAAATATATTGAAAAAATTGTATTGTTAAACACAAGTCAATCCAATTTAACAGAAAAAAAGTTATTTTTATTTATTGTTTATCATAAAGGTGCTTTTCAGAATAGAACACAAGAGAAATCTTCAAAGTCAAACTTTCAATTTATCTATATTTACAAATATATTTATAAAAATACAATCATTGAGAACAAAAATGAAAACATTACAAATTTCCAATATGAGTGAAGATAAAAAAAAGTTTCAAACAATGGCAGAAACCAAAATGCATGCCATCATATCAACCAAATTAGTTAATTTTGAAAACAATTTTAGATTTTAATTTTTGATATTAGTGTTTCAAAACAGACATGCAAAAATTCACAGCAAATCCTTATAAAGTATTGTCTCAGTAATAATTCATCACATAAACTTTCAATCAAAGGCACAAAAATGGTGAAAGGTAAAAAAACAGTTTAAGCATTCAAGTTAAGGATCTCTCCATAATTTCTGTAGTAATTACAATAAATTACTATTTTTTTTTTTAAGATTTAAAATATTATTAATAAATGACAACTGTTTTTTTGTTTTTTTAAAGATTTTTTTTTATCAGAATTTTATTCAGGCTGTTAAATTTTATGACAGTACAGAATTAAAAAAAAACCCCAAAAAAACAAAGGATAAGTTCTTAGATTCAAACTCATTTCTTCTGTCTCAAGAAATGAATAATGCACACCCAGCTGCTTTAAGTGCTAAGCTATGATAATTTGACAGCTTTGCAAAAGATCAAATCTAACCTATAACTCATCAGGAATTAATTTTGGAGTACTTGGAGTACATTTGTATAATACTGCTAAAATTAAGTGTTGGATAATTCTCAAAAACAAACAATGATGAAATTTTGCATGTAAACATTATTTTTCTCTAATAAAATATTAGTTATTTACTAAGCTTAGTCAGGCACAATTACACATTAATAAGTTTTCCTGTAACGATCAAACTCCCTAATATATTGATCAGTGATGAGCTTGCTAATTACCATACACATATGCGATTAGATATAGGCAAGAGCAAGGTTTCCTATATTTAAAACTAGCTTAAAATCCGCCATATTTAAACTAGCTCCTGCAGAGGGTTCTTGATTAAACCTTCATTACAACAGGTAGGAAGGAGTAGATACAATAGACAACACTAAACTACAGAAGAACTCAAAACTGATCGCTGCATTTAAGTATTGCATTTAAGCTTACCTTTTAAAAGTTCAACAATAACTCTTCTGCTGCAACTTAATTTAAAGACAATTTGATGTACATTGGTCCTTACTTTCCATACAATCAATTATTTTTATTCCATGGATGACTTTTGCTGGATTTCTCAATTAATTTTGATTATTACCAAATTTATTTCCAAGTTATAAAAATCATTATTGTACAAA